TCAGCGTTGGAAATTGATACAAAAATACCACTTTTCTTGAAAATGACAGTATACCAGGTGCCATGATTTTACAGGATGCTTTACACTGTCATTCACTAACAGTCCAGCAAGGTATTTCAAAATGATTTGGTAGTTTTATTTTTTGATGTTTGCAAATGTTGTATTTTCCCTTTAAGCAGCAGCTAAAACCTGATCCGCGTTCAACTGATTCAGAGGAACGGGCTAAATCATTGATCAGAAAATTCCCATCAAAATGTTCTGTACCCTATGGTTTGTACTAAAAGATCAGCTGGTCATTGAGAGCATATTTGTGTGTATGATATTGAACCTTTTAGAAAACTACAGAGAGGCAATAATCATTATTTTCATAGTTATACGGCACCTCAAATACTAATTGAAACATTCAGTACTGCTGGTGCAACTGTCTGAATATTTAGGAATTGTGTAGCCGAGGGTAAAAAGTAAGACATCTTGTTATTGTATAAAAGATATAATGGATCTACTCTGTGACTTAATAAATTAGGTTCTCCGTATTTTCCCTAGTTATAAAAGTCGTCAATACATGTGTATGTCGTATCTAGAAAAAAAAATGTTCCAATGCCTATTTTGTTTTTTCCTTTGGGTGTAGTATGGTAGAAACATATTGAATTCATCTGTTATATGGCATGCACTCCTCATTACCAATTTCTAAGTTTATTACAACAGGCTGTTCAAAGAATATAAAATTGTATTCAGCATTTACTAAAAATGTCAGTGACCATAATTTACAGGTTAGTGTACCTTTCTGCATCATATATATATTCAGAGGTCACTTTTATGGGACACTTTAAATCATCTGAATGAATTATAGTAATTTGAAACAAAATATTGAAAAGTGAAAGGCTTTAATAGTTTGTAGATAACTGATTTACTAAATGTTTCTTTCTACAAGATACTTGCAAATTGGGTCTAGTGGAGCAGCATAGCCACAATATTTCCAAGAATTGTGCACTTTGTGATAAAAGCATGAAACTTTGCAATTTGGTTCTTCATGCCATGAAGAAAATTATCAGATATGGAGGCATTACGTACCTGCCCTCTAGGCTCTAGTGACCTTTGAGAGGTCAAGGACATTTACATACTCTAACTATAATTCCGGGAATGGGTGTGTGTTTGTGTGTGTGTGTGTCTGTATGTCTGAGTTTGTCTTACATACGCAGTGTGGACTTCCGAACAAAAGACGTCCACATAATGTAGGTAGCACCGACGTTGTGTGGACTTACCCCACGTCCACACAGTGTTTCCCCATTTCTGGAAAACAGGTTAAGAGGCATTTTTGGGTTAGGTTTATCAGTAGCAGAATGAAGAGAAACACTAAAGGGAATCATAGAAAAAAAATTGGGTTGAAAGAGTTTTCACAGTTTGAGAAAAATGAGTTTTTTCACTGGTTTTTCTTAACTACACGAAAGCAATGGAAAGTCCACACTAGTCATGTGAAACAAGTATGGGTGTCTGTACTTCGATTATCTCCAGAACCGGGCACCATATGAAGTTGAAAATCGGTGGGTGTATTGCTCGGGACCCCTGAATGTGCATCGTTAAGTTTGAAGTTGTTCGGATGAGCGGTTCTCAAAAAGGTGGGGGGGGGGGGACCAGAAAATTTGCCCCATTTGTCTCAAAAAAGATAAAACATTTGGCCTGTGTACGCATGTGTATGGCGCCACTGAGATGTGTGACACCTCAATTAACACTTCGTGCAAAAAGTTTGGTTAACAAAAGAGATGCATGTACATTTTTTTTACATCATTATTGTCGGTGCACAAGTTGAGATCGCGTTTTTAAAATTTTTGGTGACGAAGGACGTGTTATGTTTAAGGGCTGGTATGTACAGGTACACATATGATGCTGATCAACGTCAACGCGGCTTGATAAATCGTCCACCTATACTTTCTAAAGTCAGTTTTCTTTCACCGGTAAGTTCACTATCTTTAGTTTCTTGTACTGATATGATTGTAAAAATATACCTGTCATTCATGTTGTTTTTCTGCACAATGCACAGCTAACCAAAGTGTGTTCTGTTTCTTTGCTTGAACCATAGAGCAAGGAACCGACTTTGATCCACACGTGGTGCGTACACCATTGCATTGTTGTTCGTGTTTATCGGCGATGATACTAGCCCCAACAAAGTAACTCAAATAGACCATAAAGCAAGGAACAGACATTGTACTTTACTTCCTTCCTACTTAAAGGGAATATACATCATTTGCTTTTGCTGTAATTTTCAGAAATGGATGGAATTGGGGGATTGGAAATATAAAGCAAATATAGTTACACTGACTTTTTGGAGGTTTTGGGTTCGAAAATGCTATAAAAACCAAGAAAAACGATCATTTACCTGTAGTCTGGTTCCCTGACTCCATATAAGAAGAAACAGAGCAGTTTACATACATTGGGGAATTGTAAGGTCAGGGAACCAGTCTAGCTGGCTCGTACCCGTTCATAGGTTTGTAATCGATTGCAAACAAGTGCAATAGTCAATTGGGGCCAGTATTTGAAAAAAAAGCCAGTTGTTTCCAACGCTGATCGGCCGATCAGCGTTGGAAATTGATACAAAAATACCACTTTTCTTGAAAATGACAGTATACCAGGTGCCATAATTTTACAGGATGCTTTAGACTGTCATTTACCAACGTCCTATTAAGGTATTTCGCAAAAACTTGGTAGTTTTATTTTTCGATGTTTGCAAATGTTGTATATTCCCTTTAATGTAAGCTCAATTTCCTCACAAGTTGTGTTTCCTCAATTTTACAAATAGACTGTTTCTCCCCCCCCCCCCTTGATATTCGCTATTTTGATAGCTCCATGGGGCTATTATTGTTTAATACCCAAGAAAAATCAAAACCTAGAGCTCAAAGGTATGACCCACATGGCCTTGGCGGAAAAAAAAGTTTTGGAGAAACTCTGAAAATTTTGACTGAAAATTACAGAATAACTAATCCATTTACACATGCACAGAATTGAACAAGTTTCCTGCTTATATTAAATAGGCAAGTAGCTTTGATCTAGTGAATATCAGAAGGAAAAGAGTCTATATTTTAAATTCAGGAAACAACTTTTCTGAAAATCAGCATGTATTGATCATGAGCGACTCACGAAACGGGGGAAGTCCATTATATTTTAGAGCCATATTTACGGGGCTATGGCGACACCTAAATATGGTTTTAAATTTGTAGCTATTGTTAGCCTATTTGACTGTTCGTCTTTAGTTTGTGCAATGTTTATTTCACTTGGGAAACTAATCCCTTTATTTTTCTTCCTTTTTTAACTCCAACCAAAAGATTTGTTACTCATATTTCATACATAAAATAATTCTTTACTCTTTTACACAGGACTCCTGGTGACATCCACAGTACAATATCTGCATCAACCAGTACCCAAAACAAGAATCTAAAAGACGACAAAGAGTCTTCACCACCTTTGCTTCCTAGTCACGACTGCAAGATTGCTGATCCTCATAAAAGCAAACCTTCGCCCATTGAAAAACACTTTTCTTCTAGCAAGAGTTTGAGAAGTCATGATTTGTTAAAAAAAAAAAAAAAAACTGAATAATAATCACACATATTTCTCTCTTTTTTTAGCTTTTTTTTCATAGGATAACGCATGTTTTCATTCTACACAGGACTTAGGACTTTTTTTCACATCCGATTGACTTCAAACCTGGCACATACTTAGACCACAATCTGAAGATTCAGTCTGAATCATGACATTCTGATGACATGACATCCTCACGCCGAATCATGATGTCATGATGACATCATCACGTGTCATGTGACGTCTGACCTCCATTTCAGTATTCACTTGTGTGTACTTGTTACACTCCGTTGTACTTATTACACTCAGTTGTTTTTACCGAGCCCACTGGTAACTTTTAGAGTGTCATGCTTGTCCAATGTGCCTCTTATATTCAGTTGTGTAAAAAGGGAAATGGTGATCAGAGGTCATGACAATATTGTTTTTGTGGTCCTAATTCATGATATACTGTATAATAATAGTTAAAATACACGTCTTTAGCACTTTTTAGACTTGGGTCATGAAAAAGTGGCAAACAGAAGATTAAAATATGATAAACAGCAGCAAATAGGGTATACAAAGTTCATTGACCTCTCAAAGGTCACCAGAGGCATAACGGTTCGCATCTGAAATGCATATCATGGCAAGAATACCAAAATTGTTCATATTGGTCAAGAAAAAAATCGGGTTTTGAATTGTAAATCTTGTATACATAGAGCAATACAAAGTTCATTGACCTCTGGAAGGTCACCAGAGGTCATATACGACATGGTCATAATTTTCATTGTATGAAAACCTATGAACATTGGGTCATAGGAAAGTGGTGTTTTCAAGAATAGGTATAAATAGAATTTGTAAAGGTCATTGACCTCTCAAAGGTCACCTGGAGCCAAATATGTAATGAAATGCCATATCTGAACTTTTTCTTCATGGCATATGCTGCTCACAAAGTGCGCAATTCTGTCACTATGCCACTCCGGCCACTAATAAGATTCAAATAATGCAGCAATAATTCAGTTTTGACCACTGAGCATATTTAGGCACGAATCCAGGAGGGGGGGACAACCCCCCCCCCCCCCCCCCCCCCCCCAACCCAGCTCTGTCAAAAACAAGCTTTTTTTTTCAAAGAAATTCATGGGGAAAAAAAACATGTAAAAATAAAAACAATTCCAGCTCGACACCCAAAAAATGTTGCTAGAAATAATGTCGGCCTTGCACAAAATACGTACAGAGCCAACTTGGTCAGGGGGTATATGAATCACCCCCATTGAAAGTATGGTACGAGACCCCCCCCCCCCCCCTTTTTTTTTATTTTACGGAGGCCAAGAGTCCGGGGGAACAGTGTCTACATTTCTGATTTTTTTTTTGCCAATGAAACCCCCCCCCCTTGCGAAAATTGCTGGATCCGCCCCTGATATTGACATGTATTATTCCCATAAAAAAAATACTTACTGATGGCGAGGTAGGACTAGGAATCGTACGACGGGTGAAGCGCTAATTCCTTGCGCGCTTTGTTAATGTTACGTAACTCCGATGCAACCATTCTTGTACTACGTAAACGCCAAGCTGTCTGAACAATTTCACTCGAGTACTATAAGAGCACCTCGCTTCACCAGCTGTATGATACATTCGTACGCAATTCATGCGACAATTCAAACAAAGAGATTCTTCTGGCAATCGGACAGTAAAGTTGAGTTCAATCATGGCAGCGGACTACAGCCGATGACCATCCAGATTTTAAAGCGAACGCAACTAGTTCCGTAACTCAAACAAAAACTCAATCGACTCCGTCGTGCATCGTTTGGAGAATCCAACGAACAATCTAGCTACACGCCCCAATCAAGCCAGCACGGATATCAAACAACGTCAGGAACTGAATAAATTGGCCGACCGTTCCCCAAGGCTGGGCCAGAGTTGAAGACTACATCGTAGACGACTTGGCTGACTAATCGGACGATGAAAAACATTCCGGAAAGCAGAATAATGGCGACGACCAACATGACCAAGCAGGCAGAAGCTGCAGAAAAAACCCAAACAAGGCCAATGCTCGCAATCCTGTACGCCCTCTTCTTGCTGCGCATTATTCATCAATGCTTCGGAATCGACCAGTTCCACACCTGCTTCCAGTTCCAGTGCGGAACTGCAGGCCACGTCGGAACCAACTCTCATTCCTTGGCCTTGCGACACGTAGACAGGCCTCGCTCGCCGATTGCAACCTTGTTCAGCAAACTTCTTCAGCAACCAGCGATTCCGCCACAACATGGCAAGATTCAACGACCTCTGCCCAAAGGGTAAGCTGAAACCTTGTTTTCTTGTTTTAACGACACACGGGTCAAGCCCGAGTCCATCATTTGCAGCTATCCGAAAAGTAACTGGCGTAATTATTGTTGAAAAACATACTTGGTTGAAAGATAGTAAGTGGACTAAACTCCTTGTAAAATTATTCTTTCTAGCAAGCTGTCTTTTTGAAGAAATCAACGAAAGAAGGCCTTTCCAAGGTGTGTCTTAATTTCTGTTAATAGTAGTTCGTTTATTTTTTATTCGGCGAAGCCTGCGCAAGCGTTGGCACGATGCATACGTACGTACGCGTCGGATTGGTGCGCGACATCGCGTAGCTGCAATCGGCTAGTGAGAACGTGTCTCGGACGCTGAATTCAGGCCCAATTCAAAACATGATTCAGCAACTTTTGATTTGAAATCGAGATCCTAAAATGTTGTTTTTCTCGAACTATACAGCTGAAGCTGAGCTGAAACTTCATCACGTTAAATGTTCAGCACCCTTCTTTAGCGGTCCTACTAAAGCGGTCCTACTAAAGCGCGTCAACAAGCGTCAACAAGTTTTAGTAGTCGTTAAGTGCGCGTCAAAAAAAATTTATAGGCTTTTGAAAAATAAAAACAGCTTTATATGGTAGAAAAAGCAATAATTAACATCTTCTGCATATCAATTAAAGTTAAAATTACTTAAAAAGTGGTTTTCCAGCGCGAAATCTACGACGGGTTTTTCGGTTTAGTACTGCGCAATAGTCGTAGCCTTGTTGCCATTTTGTGATTGGACAATGAACGACGTTCATTTGATGGTGTCTTCGTATCTCCAGTGCAAGTAGGTGCAAGCGCGGTCGCAAGTAGTGCTGCTTACGCACCTGGGATCCTGGGTTCCGTCCGCACTCAGCACAATACGTTCAGAATCATTTTAGTGGAAGAAAACACATTTCCAATTTTCCAAATGATCTATGATTTCATCGTGAAATCGTTTAGACACACCCCCATAAATGCATGAAAGTGAATACGGAATTGGAGTGTTAAGTAATTCTTCCGGTCGCATTATCAGTCCTTTTTAGATACATGTATTACTATTAGGGAGGTATTTTTTTATTAAGTATAATTAAAGAAAGCATGAATATAGATGAATAATATAATTCTTCCATTCCCAAAGTTTATGCACAAAATTAACATGATTACTGTCCAACGAATCATTGCAGATAGCTTGCAATGTTCATTTAAATATCGAGATGTATACACAGTTGGGTTTTGTGAAATGATTTTTCTTTTCCCCTTTCTGTATCATTATGTGAACGAAATGTGTCACACAAAAAACCTGCAGAATCTGGCCTTGTACGATGAACATAATATGTACATGCGGCGCCCGTACGTGTACACGGTACCGTACGTACTTACGTACATGTACTTCAACGTCGTTAATTGACCAATCACAAAATGGCAACAAGGCTACGACCATTGATCTCCATATACACAGACTGGATAGGACATCGCGCCGTGTTTGTGCACGAATGCGCGGCCGAACAATGGCGGCGCGTTTACTGTCAGACGGGTCAACGCGCATTGTGCTTTCACTTTGTTTACTTTGGAAAATGGATTGTTTAGTGAAATTTTTCTTACAGGAGGGAGTTTCAAGCGCTCCTCCAAAACAATCTTAAAAAAACCCCTGAACGATGAAGAGTTACCCTCCAAGCAGCTTTTCCACACTTTCTTGATATACACATTCTTCTTATGCATTTTCGAAATTCAAGAACCCCCCATTTCCTTTGCCCTTTTTTTTTTAAAAATCCCTCCTCCTCCCAAAAATGATTGTAAGTAAATTGCCATTTCATTTTTGGCACATTGGTCATTAGAGCACACTGAATTACTCCATCAACGAAATGAATAGTTGTATTAATAATATGCTGAAATGACATCATCTTTTTTTAACTGAACACTCACACGAGAAATTGTATGGAGATTCATTCAAATGATTGATATATTTATTAAAAAACCTGAACATAAACCAATTACAATCTAAAAGGTAAAAAAAACACTTCATTTTACAAAGTAATCAGTAAAAACTTCTTCCCGTCCCTAGATTGATCAGGGAATGACATCGTTTACCTCTTTGTGATATTGTGTGAAAGGAGATGAATCACAAACCAAAATAGTACTATTATAATACTAATTTTGTCAAAGAATAATTCAAGCTACGCACGGCCTTGCAATTAAATGTTTAGCTATACTTCTGAAAATAAATATAATTACTTGTAAGTGTAATGGGAATCGTTTTTGTGAGCGAATATGACGGTGTATATGACTATAGCTAGTAATCTTATATAACGGCGTACACAACATAATTTCAAACCGTAAAAGTACTCATTGCTTTCTTCACCATACAAACTGTCAATAATGTGACAGTCATCTTGGGAGCTTATAAAAATACTTGCGTTGAACTCCACAACTTCTTTCCAAAACCAAAATCAATCAATGTTAAAAGTTCCACATCGTAAAAATTGATTAAGTCAACACTTAGATGCCTATCACATCGCATGTTCCATTCAGTGGATGATACAGTCGATTCTATCCCTCCGTGAAGTTCTCCATTTTCATCCGGCTCAGTCCTGCAGCTGGAGGTTTTTGCTATATGGCTTTGTTGAAGTTCTTTGTTTGATATGAAGGTCAATCGGCCAGTTGTGCAGTAAGTTAGTAGCATAAACAATCTCCTCGGTTTCTCTTTATAAAGAAAAGAATAGAAACATTTCGGTAGGCGTTAAGCCAAGGCAGACATAATTCAATCAGATTTTGCATATAAAAGTTATTCGGATAAACTATCTTAAACAAGTCAACTTTTGTTCATTGCCATTGCCGGGTCAATCATGCACGTTTAGGCCTATGTCTTTTAAAGAAAAATGATGCCGACCACTGAGCATGACAGGCCTAGATCGCATGGAATTTGAACAGAATATCTCGCTAGCTACCACACAGGCCCGTCCCCTCAAACTCAGAGCGACATAATTTGCTTTGTCATTCCCATGTTCATATTCCTCCATGCCATGTTGTATAGGCCTCGTTAAAAAACAACTTACTTGCGAATAATTGTCCTATTCTTCAACGCTCCTTACTTCCCGACTCCAGCAATCTAATGCTGCGCACACCTTGACTATACTCCTCGTCGAGTTTGATCAAATTAGATCTCTGTTTCTTTTATTCTTTCAAAAATGACAAAGAAACCGAAGAAAACCCAACTTCATTTTTTAATCCTCCGTTCGAAAGTGTACACAACTCGAATGCGAAATTGTGTTCTTTACCCTTTTTAAAAAACGCGCGCGCGGACGCACGTTCGTACGCGATGTCCTATCCAGTCTGTGTATATGGAGATCAATGGCTACGACGCAGTGGTTTAGTATTGGCCGCCATCTTGTTTGAGATCTACATACTACGCATGCGTGGAGTGTACCATTCACACATAGGGGTTTCTTTATACTATACGCTTTGCGTAACCTCGTTTGGTTTTTGCATTGGGATTTTTTGGCAGACATTGTGAACCGTGTCAGTCGGCATATTTGTCAAATAATTAGCCAAGTACCGTGACCAAGTTTTGCATAATTTATAATTGAAAAAAAAAAATAGTTTTCCTAATTTCTTAATAAACGAGGTATCGCTAAGCGTATCGTATAAAGAAACCCCTATGCGTGAATGGTACACTCCACGCATGCGTAGTATGTAGATCTCAAACAAGATGGCGGCCAATACTAAACCGAAAAACTCGTCGTAGATTTCGCGCTGGAAATCCACTTTTTAAGTAATTTTAACTTCAATTGATATGCAGAAGATGTTCATTATTGCTTTTTCTACCATATAAAGCTGTTTTTATTGTTCAAAGGCCTATACAAAATTTGTTGACGCGCACTTAACGACTACTAAAACTTGTTGACGCTTGTTGACGCGCTTTTGTAGGACCCTTCTTTAGATTTGAGCACTTTTGTTGCTTCTAACGAACAAAATGCACAAATTACAAATGATGGACTATATACCTTTAAGTGTAAGTCCGAGTAACCTGGACCCTACTTAAAAGTACCATGGACTATCTCCATGATAGTACTTATCACCTTTTTGAGTGCCCGACCACTTGTTTAGAGTTGTTACGATCAATCTTTTTTTGAGTAGTCGGGCACAACCCTAGTCTGTAAGAGACCTGTGGCGCTAATGCCATGGGTGTATTATGTCAGCAGATTCGCTGATTAATTAGGCAAGACCCCAGCCTCGACTCCAGGGGCGCGTGCTCGTTCCTTTACACTACGATCGCGCAAGGCATGATGGGAAACAACATGGCGCTGCGAGATCGTATCCACGCAACCTCGATCCCACGGTGACGAGCAGTACGCGCCCATCACTACCTGATCTCTCACCCTGGTATTGGATCATTTGCATGTGCAAGATTTTTGAACACGTATGCAAATGAGAAATAGTCTGGTGCCTGCATGTGCGTTACATTATCGTTCGTTTTTGTATGCAGTGTCTGGGGTAAAAACAGAGTCAATTCGTCGGAGCGCGAGCACATAGCGTGAGTTACGAAAACGCGATTTATTTAATTAAACTGTTACGATCTTATCGAGACAACATGCAGTATCACATTTCATATTAATATGAACAAATTGGAAAAGGAAAGGAATATTTTTGATAAGGCGTGGACGAATGACCGTGAAAACACGTACTGCACGTTGTGAATAACAACTCCAAGTACACGATCAAAATCCATTACTAGCCAATTGCGATATCGAATCAGGATACAGGAAGAAAGTTTACTATCCAGGGTTTATGGAAATAAAGTAAGCACTGGGGACGAGGTTGGTATCCACGGGGCACGAGGTTGGCAAGACCCCGCCTCTTGACCTCCTAGACTTTGACCAATCAGCGGGCGCTTTCTATATCGGGTTTTCGAACATTCACCGGTTGAAGCCCTGCGTCACGAGCTATGCATTATCCATAGATATAGAATAAAAAGACTAAATCGGCAGCGCGTGCATAC